ACACAAGAAGTAGGAGAGCCTGGCGTTAGCCGGGCGATCCGACTGGTAGAGATACAATTTGCAGTATATTCATCATAGCTGTCTTCACCATTTCACTAGAATTGAGGAGACTTTATCGACTCTTTTCGCCGATTGGACAGCAAGATTTCGGACTGGGCTGCCATATGTGGTTACGGTAACTTTCTGAAATGTAGGGAGCATGGCAGTTGATGTTTTTAAGCCTGAAATAATTTTTTATAGAACATCCTTTTGCGTTCCGAGTTTATGAACTCCACATTTTAAACTGACCGGAGCCATCATTCAAATGTTCGCAACGACTTTGTGGCTATTAGAATAAGCTAACTTCGTCTGAGCAGGGAGCTGTTTCACGTGCTCGAAAGAAAAACAATAGAAGAGGAAATGTGTTTTGGAAGGATTGGTACTTCAGCTCTGTTGCCGCAACATAATATAATACATCCATTCTTTCAATAACAGCAGGTCTGCGCAAGCTGACCTTACTTTTGCAAAAACCCAACAGAGTCCTGTTACTATGATAAGTGTCCAGCTAGCCATTTCGCGACATCGAGATCTGCTCGTTCTTACCGTGGAAGTGTGGAGATGACTGAAGGTGCAGTAACAAAATGAGAGTCCAGTTTCTATTGTTGGTCAGCCAATGCGTAGCCCTCTGAGTAAAATATTCCAAATTCACACTGGTGGAGCCGAAGAACAGTGGTTCGCCAGAGCTCAATGTAAAGACTGTCGTCTTCGTCGAAGGTTGAGTGAAATGATGATGCTAGCCTCGGTAGAAGCGAGTCAACACATGATGTTCGTATGGCTTCAAGGTTTTCATGGCATGCGCAAGTTATGTCTTGAGAAACTGTTCTCAAGCCGTTGCGGCGCCTTACCGTGACAATTTGCAAACGTGATAGTTGAGCGACCACGCAAAAGGCTCATATCCATGATTATCTCGAATGTGCTTGCAGAATCATGAAACTATTGTAGTCACCCAAAAAATCTGAATGTTTTTTCCACTCGCAGGGCTCTGCCACGTTAATTTCGAGCATGCGGCAATAGATGATCTTGTCATTAATCACGTTGCATGTCCTTTTAATAATGCTCCCTTTCATTTCAAAAGAAAAACTTGAGGGTTGTTGTGCCTTCCGAAAAGTATCGAAATTTCCCGAGCGATCGAAGATTTTGCCACGTCAACCTGGCAGTGTATAACTGGAGTCAATAACGTCGTCAATAACATGCTCGATTACGTTTCCCCACTAATTACAAATGCAAGCGTATTTAAGAGACACAGTTCACTGTGATGATCATGCAAAGGTATCAAGATGTTTCTGTGCAATACGTTCTTTGCATTAACGGCAAGTTCGCTTTCCTTTACACTTTTCTAGGAAAACTGAGCAGTATAAATAAACAGGTTTTGGCGTCCTCGGTGGCTCCAGTCCATGTCGCAACGAAAGCTTTTCAAGATGGTGAGTAGTGCAAGATATGATTTCTATAAAGCTCTGGAAGAAAAGATCTGTTTTATTCGACACAACGCTCCATTGAAAGCTCTCAACTGCCAGAAACCTTTGATTACTCTTTAGAATACCTTCGAAGGAGTTCATCAAAAAAGTAGTCCAACATAGGTATG